CCCGGCACCTGTCCTGAGAAATAGAAGCACAACAAGCCTGTGCTAGAATAGCAGAAGCAATTGACTGAGAATCAACCCCAGTGCCGTGGGCCTGGAAGTACCATTTCCTACTCTCTTGGATAATCCATCCCACGTCCCTGCGCCTCTCCTTTCTCACGGTGTCTTTACTTTACCATGTTGGTATAAACACATCACACTGGTCTCACACAGGCTGCTGAGAGAGTACAAGCAAAGTTAAGAAAGCATCTGGAAATTGTGACACCTAGAGAAATCTCTAAGCATCTGCTTCTGAAAGTCTCCAGGTCCCTCTTTATCCAATCCCAACATGTTTCTCATTTGAGTGGCCTCTTCACAGTACTATGCCATTTCCCTTAGCTGTCTCTGCTGGGGACTTTAGGCTTCCTACTATTCTTGACCACTCCATGAATTATATAGCCCGGCAGGCCGAGCCTCTCTAGGCAACCCTTGGGAAAGGAGTTTAAAATATGGTTATTTTTATATAAGATTGTGTGATCTTTTAGTAAAAGTTTAGCTCCTTTCATTCCTATCGTAAAATATGCAATGGGCCAAGTTTGATATGCATGCCATGTAACCCTAGCATTGTAGAGGTGGTAGAGGTAGAAGGATCAGATGGGCCTTTTGTCTTTGGCTACATCGTGAGTTGGAGGCTGTTGTGAGCCCATGTGTCAGACTAAATCAAACACCAAACAATTAATTATTCAGCATTTTCCAATCTCTCTCTCTCTCTCTCTCTCTCTCTCTCTCTCTCTCTCTCTGTGTGTGTGTGTGTGTGTGTGTGTGTACTCATGAATGTGTGGGCATGTGTTTCTTGATCTATGGACATAGTTGAGTTTTAAGACACCAAGCTACAAAGCCACACCTCTTGGACTTCACAGTAAGAAAACATTGCACTGGATATTTTAAACTACTTTGGAATTTCCCGCAGAGTTATTATTCTATGAATTGCTAGTTGGAAGTATTTTTTTTTATTTTGGGATTGTGGAGAACAGAATTGAAAAAATGCATGTTAATGCCACATATATTTCAGTACTTCGATTAGCCAGCTGTTTGAAAAATCAGTACTTCATGTATCTTACACAAACTGATTTAAAACCTCCAGCTATACGTATCTAGATTCCATCTAGTTTTTAATCAATTGGATGGCTACAAATAGTGGGTAAATGATTTGCTGTCATAAGGAGTTGAGCTCTGCTTTTCACACAGTGACAATAACATTTTTATTTTAGTACCTACACAATAGATAGTAAACTTTGGTTGATATCATTTAGATGGATCTCAACAGCCCATTAGCTGTGTTAGTGCCTTCTTTCTTGCCAAGCCATAGCTGTATGCTAAGCTGCTGTGTACTTTGTTACATAATCCCCTGCATTCATTTTCTCCACCTGTTTAGCTTGAATACATACAAGGTGACTGCACTGTCCTTTGCACCCTCCTTCTCACTATAAACATCAGGTATAGAAAATGAATTTGGGGTACTGTTGCCTTTTTTTTTCCAGTGGAGGGTTTGGAGAATTGAGTTGATTTAGAAATGTATTTTGTCACTATCTGGTTCTGCCCTTTCGGTTATGTTGCCTGTCAGCCCAATATGGTTTTCAAGGTGATAAGAATATGCTTGAGTCTCAGCTACTGGAACAAATTAAGATAGGTCAGGGTCTTGGGAGAAAAAGTATCTCCACTGTGAGGGTATGCAACAGGATAATCTTCTAAAAGTCCTTCTCTGTCTCGTCCCTAGCCTTTATTTGCTCTGAGAGAGTGGGGCATGAGTTGTCAGGCTTTTCCTTTCAAAAGTCAGGAAGATTAAATCCCATGAATTAAAGCCAAAATAAGTTTGCTATTCTAGAATATGAGTTGGAGCAGACCCTGCAGCTATCTATTGTTCTTATTGGACACCCACTGGGATGAGAAATCTGGGCAGTTGGGATGATGCCACTCTTGATCACCAGTTCTGGCCCAGGGAAGAGGTAAACTGAACAAATGCACTGTTTAGTGGAGAAATCAGAGAGGCTGTGGAGTGCTTCAGCAATCTCCTTTAGATACTCCCAATGGAAGACACCTAGCTACATGTGATATTCCTTAGGATATTAACATAAATAATCATGTGATTTGCATAGATAGTTTCCTTCTCGCAATGGTTTTATATCTTATTTATTTATGGTGGTATTCTGTTTTCTGTGGTAATGTCATCATTTGTATTTCTTTTATGGCCTTCTACATTAAAATTTTTTTCTCTTGTTTTAAATATGTTCAGAATCCATGGAGGAAAAGGAAATTTTTTTTTTTTTTTTTTTTTTTTTTTTTTTTTTTTTTTTGGTAAGCACAGGTGGTTAACCTAGTGGGAGAGGAGTTGGTTCATAGATCACTTTACCTAATGTCAGTCTGGTTTACAAGTCCACACACAGATCCATGTAACTACACACAGCCTTAGAGAAGTCCATTGGAAGCATGTGACATATTTGAAAAGGTAGTCACAGGGACAGGTGAAGACCAGAGGTCCTTCAAGTCCTCATTACCACACACTATATCACCTTAGACACCCACTTATTCTTACCCATCAGTTTCTTCCTTAATTAAATAAAGACATTAAATCAAACAATCCCTAAAACACCTTATAGCTTGAAATTGTGCTATTTTGACAGATTCCTTCCTCTAATTACAGGAAAAATACTAAGCACAGTCTGGCACATTAAATAACATCCTGATACCTTGCTGTTTTGTGTCAAGGCTTTTCCCTTTGAAAGGTCCTCCATGGTTAATGTAAGCTCCACATTGCTCTCCTCATTCACTCATCCTAGTTCAGGGCCCACAACACATAACTTAGCTTTTCAGAGAAGATGCCCACTGTTTCGTCATGTGTAGTATCAAAGACCAAACAACAGTAGTTGTGCATGTCTTTCTCTGTAGAGAAAGAGCTGACAAGTGCATGTGACTGTCATCTATTCTAGATGAGAGTTATTTCCAGGTCTGTTGTTTAGTTGCATTTCAGTAAATATGCTTCTCCACAAATGATAGGAGAGGTTGTGACAGTAGACAGGGCATTAGAGGATTAGACTGAGTATATTTCAAACACACAGACCATGTCAAGTTTCAGATTCCTAACTTTTTGAGGCTATTTTTGAGAGAATGCACCAGGCATAAATATGTACCAAGTATTACTTGTTTGCTTATTCCATATATATTCAAATGTGCATATACATATACATATATGGACGGGCATACACATATATGAATGGGCACACACATGTATGAATGGGTGCACATATGCACATATGGATGCACACACACACACACACACTCACATTTATAGATAGAAACATACACATTATACCTTCTACAATTTAGTGATCTATAGGCAAGCAGGTACCTTTGCTTATGACTGGATTTGTACAGACACACCTTTGAGACCCTGTGTAACATGCAGAAACAAAAAACATTTCTTCTTTAACTCTTGAGAATTTGGACTTTTAATTTCTGCTTTCACACTGTTGGTGCTGTGATGTTATGGCTAATTTAACTATCTGTAGTGGGTTTTTTTTTGAAACATAGTAAGACTGTTGTACTTCATTTTATTACTGTGTGATTTGAAAATATGTGTTTTATTTTGCTTAAGTAATTTATGTAGAGCTGAGGTGGTTAATAGGAATCTGAGCTGAGGTAATTTAGGCTATCTATGGCTTGTAAGGTTGAAATGTAGTTTAGCTAAGGGAAAATAGAATTTCCCTATCCAAAGTTTCTAGATATATTTTATTGCCAATTTTCTTTCATTACTTAAGTTCTTTTAAATAGAAGTTGACTGAGTCTGGTATGAAATACTGCATTCTGAGTTTGCCTAACAAGAACTCCCTTAAACATTCATGCACTGTGTGCCAAAATTGTGTGTCAAATAATCTATGAATTAGTCATATTAGCTGTATGTTCTTCTCTTAAGTTAAAGAGAATACTTTGTAACTATTTGGAAGTCCAGGCTTGAGTTTAGAACTTTTTGACTCCTTGGGTAATAGTGCTGTGGGGAGAATAGGAACACCTCTGGTTCTGAAACTATGACTGTCCCTAATTTCCTTGCCAAATTCAGCTCTGTCTTATATTACAAGTTATCTAAGATTAATGCCCGTGGATGCCTCAGTCTACACATTAAGCTTTGTCTACTGATGTGTCAACACCAGAAACATGTTTTGCTTTTAGAAAACAATGGGTCCCTAGAAGATGCCTCGTTCAACAGGCTTCAGATGAGGAATTTCAAGGTGCCAATGTCAGAAATATGGTCTTGAAAGATCATATAAGATTGCACTGGGATTCTTCCTTGGCCTTGTTATCCTTGGCCAACATGGTTGTGTCAAGAGCAAGTTCCAATCAGGAAGGAGCTTTCTGAGAGGAATCCTCTTGTCTGCTCAGAGCACAAGGCCTCTTTGCTTGAGTCTAAGGGTTGTGTTGCTTTCTAGTCAAAGCTTATCACCATGTTTCATGCCGTGCCCTTTCCCTCACCTGACTTATCACTTTCTCTAGTCCAATCTTCTACTCAAAAGTCCAATCATGTTCTATGGGGCTTCCTACTTTACCATAGAAACCTTAGTTCGCTAGGTTTCTGATGGATGGAAATCAAAGCCGATGTTTTAGAGTAATTTATTTCAAGTTATTGTTTAATGAAATTGACCAAGAGCTAAGGAGTGCTCTGCTGGAAAGGATAGTTAATTATCTATTCTGAACTGGATCTGTTGGAAATATTGAAATACCATCCCTGATGCAAAGACAATGGGAGTCCCAATTGACCATTTTGAATGAATTTTCTCCATAGGTTTTACTTCCAGAACATTTGAAGGAAAGGCGGTCCACTCCATTGAACTGTTTTTCTTATTTGTTTTATTGTCACGTGGGCACATAGTTTATAGTCTGCTCTCCTATTTGCCTCTAGTTAAGTAGGAGCTGCCCAGAGTAGATTCTTTCTCTCCAAGGCATGACCACTTTGTCTTTTTCTTTCCCCGCAGCTCGAGAGGAGAACGTGGCCACCTTCCGAGGCTCAGAGTATCTGTGCTATGACCTGTCTCAGAACCCCATCCAGAGCAGCAGTGATGAAATCACCCTCTCCTTTAAGACCTGGCAACGCAACGGGCTCATCCTGCATACGGGCAAGTCGGCCGACTATGTTAACCTAGCTCTGAAGGACGGTGCCGTCTCCTTGGTCATTAACCTGGGCTCTGGGGCCTTTGAGGCTATTGTAGAGCCAGTGAATGGGAAATTCAACGACAACGCCTGGCATGATGTCAAAGTGACACGCAATCTCCGGCAGGTAATGGCCGGGGGGACAGCAATCCTGGAAGGCCCATATTAGGCAGACACTTGGTGTGGGGCAAGTGACTGGTGAGGTATTGAAGGCTAGGGATCTGGATGTAGATATGCTAAAGTTTAACTTTCTCCAATTTTTTTTCAATTTCACAAGGAAAAATTATTACTCTATTTTTCTCCTTATACTTTAATTCCCCATTTGTACTTGTTCTTTAAGAAAAAAAATAACCGTTGTATAGATAATAAAAATGATAAGTACTTCCATTCTTATTATTCTGCTTTACTTTTTATCATTTTCTTAATTACATTCAAATCTTATCATAGTGTTGTTAAATTCAATTAGGGACAGCATTTTGTTTCCACAGCTTGATGGATTGTCCTCATTCTTTGAGTATATGTTTTCCTTTTTAATTAAGTTAGCCATTGCCATGATGTCATAATAATTTTAATTCACTCCAGGAAAAAATAACTTTTCCCTCTCCTATTAATTTACCATCCCTCCCCACCTTTGTTTATTTATTTATTTTTTCTTTTCCTACTGTTATGTGAACCTCTCTTGCCTTGGAATTAATAGCCGGGATCTTTCTGAAATCATGTTTCTCTGTTCCCTGATGCTGTGGTCCTACCTCACTGCCCTTGTCTCTACCTCCGAGACTCTTCAGTTGCCTTGGAGGCCTGGCAAGTGGAAGCACCCAAATAAAAATATCATCTTTGGAGCAGCTCTCCCGATACTGTGCTTGAGAACTCCCATCGCTTGTGGATTCTAAGCAGGCAACTCCGTCAGGTGACACCACATCCAGAAAGCCTGAGCCAAGCGAAGTTGTTTTCCATTTCATTACTAATAATGATAATAATCAAACCTTATCAGTACACATCAGCCAAAGAAAAGCATTTCCCATCAAAGCCAGGTCTGTGCTGAGATTGCCTTTTTCATGTTTCTATTTTCAGTTGGTATTTTTCTCTGCTTGTAAATTTGTCACGCAAACCAGTTGGACAGCATTCATCCTTTATTAATCAGAAAACAGTATGCAAATTTCCAGAAAGTGCTTATCAAATTTTCTTTTGCAATATGATTGATTTAATGCTGTCTTGTGTAAACATGAGAGCAGAAGACATGGCAGGTGTTTGCATATGTTTTCTGTTTGATAAAAGTATGACTCCTAAGAAATGCTAAACAAATGGCATAGGCTGGCACACACTGGAAACACATTATAGTCAAAACACTCTTCTGCACATTTAAGTGTATCAAGGAAGCCAACTAACTGGGAGATCCTATTCTGTTTATAGTGAAGTTGTCAAGTAACACAAGACTTTGAGTCCCCAACATTTCCACCACATAGGAATTCGAATTTTATGAGTTATTATTCTATGATTTCCCTTCAAGTTCAAATAATTCTAATATATAAGTGCTTTTTTTTCATCACCTCCATTCATTGCTGCCCAGAGGAACTTCTTAATAAGACATTCCCAAATCAAATTTCCATTTGCAGGCATAGACATACTCACTGCATCTGGGCTGTGAACTCTACACCAAAAAGTGAATTATGACTTTTTGCCAGTCTCACTCGGCATGTCCAAAATAATACCTTTGGAGCCTTAGTCATCTGAGGAGAAACTTTATGTTCTGAACAGCATTATCAGCTCACAGATCTCATCAATTTGCTTCTTTTGCTCCTGCCCACACACTTCTTACTTACTCAGGAGCCACTCACAAAAACTCTCACAAAACTCTCACTTTTGTTTCTACCAAAAACACCTTTTCCAAGAGTATCAGGCCCCAGGTAAGCCCTTTAAGCCGAGCAGATAAATTAAATTCTCATTCAAATATGTTTGGTCAGGAGCATTGTGAGAAAAATCACCCTGTAGAGTTTCTAATATATTCTGAGTTTGAGAGTCCAGCTCCTCTCTGTGCCCTGGGGCAAGTCACTTCACCTTCCTCTATCACAGCATGCATTGCAAACTCTGATTACAATGCTCCTGAGCCATGTGTGGTGGCTAAATATGCAAAGTGCCTTCTGTTCCAGAAGGGTTATGAGCTCATCCATGGTCTGGGTGCTAGATTTGCTGTGACGTGCACATGATTTACAGGCTGGGCATTCAGTCCCAGAGGGGAATGTTTCTGCCCGCTGCCAAGGATTCAGGAAAATGGAGTTGTCTATTCTAATTAAAAGCTATTGAGTTCTTGGAATTTGGAGTATTTCTTAGGAGAGACAATCTTGATCACATGTTAAAAAAAAATACCTGTATCACTTAAACATATTGGAATCCAGATTCAGGGTGGGGTTGATTTTTACAAATAAGGTCCATTCAATATTGTACTATCTAAGATTATTTCACCCACTGAAATATTTATATCATCACTTTTGAGTTCCCTAGAATACATTAGAAAAATGGGAAGCCTCTGTGTATTTCAAATAAACTGTAAATGGCTTCGTAAATATTTGATAACAAGCTGATGGCAACCCATCTACTTTTTTGGCAAAATCTAATGTCTTTAGTGGGAAAGATTTATCTGAGAAAAATTGGCCTGGGATTCATGAGGTTACCAAGGAGGGCAGAGCTGCTATTTTCTTTTTCCATGGCCACCAATAGGTGGTTGTGTCTTTATGTCAACTCAGAGCCAAGCCCAGATAGGAACTTCAGAATGAAAGGTTTCAAATGTGGATTACCTGTGTTTGTTTCAAATTATAGTTCAAACTATGTCTGTGTCTGTATTGTGTGTCTGTGTGTTTATATGCTCTTTTGTGTGTGTGTGTGTGTGTGTGTGTGTGTGTGTGTGTGTGTGTGTGTGTGTGTGTGTTTCTATGAATCTGTGATTGCACAGAGCAAAGGATAGTATCCTTTATCTTACTAGAACCCCAGGTCAAGTCTGTCACATAACTAGTTTTACATCTGGGTGTCTCTTTTGGTAAAACATGCACACAAAATAGGTGGCAGGTCTTCCAGCTTCCCAGACTCCCAGCTCAAAAAGTGTTGTCAATTAAGCACTTGGAAATTAGTAGCAAAGAGGAGATTAATTGTAGTGAGGGCTTTTCTAATCATGTTTAATCTGCCTTTATTTCTGATATCCATTCACAAAATTGTTTAAATTTTTAACTCAGTGTTCCAAAGGAATAATGGGGGATATTCCTTCCCAGCCATTTTGGCAAAGTAAAGAGATTAATAACTTTATTGGGTAGTAAATAATGTTTTTGGTGTATTATCATGACATAGATATTATAAACTATAAGTAAAAGAAATCTGAGCATGTTCTTTTGGCTCACAGATTTGCAGACATCAGTAGGGTCACAGACACTTAGTCTGTGGAGACCTAATAAATGTGGTATGATCAAGTTTTGCTGTCTGAGGCTCTCTGTGTTAGCATTTGGTTCTTTTCAGGATGGCCTATCTGTGCAATTAGATTCAAATGTGAAAACAAATACTAACATATCATTAGTATTTAATTATCTATTTGTCTACATATGGACTGGTGTTTTGGGGTGGTGGCTCTTTATTTCAGTACAGGGGAACATGTATTAAGAGGGTGGGAAAGAAACGCTGGCAGCATTCATTCAGAGGAGCTCTGGGAAGTAAGTATGATACTAACTCTAAGCAGTGAGGTTTGGTCTGAATGGTATCTGCAAGGAACGGGCAGTTGCCATGACTGGTGGCTGAGTCCTCAAGCAAGAGTTTCCATAGAGTCCTGGTCTCATTGTCTTTTCCCACTCTCTTTCTGTGTTGGGTGCCTTTTTTTTTTTTTTTTTGAAAAACTAACACAAGATCACTCATGCGATGTGTCATTTTACTAACCGACTAATGTACTAACACCCTAACGACTCATCTTTGTTTTTAGTTCTTTTAATTAACAATCGTTCTGTTCACAATTTTTAATTTCCTTTCTTCCCCCTTCTCCGCAAAGCACTCAGGCATCGGACACGCTATGGTAAACAAACTACATTGTCTGGTAGATATCATTCTTATTGTCTTTTTTTGGGTTTGCCGTGTGTTGCCCCCCTTTTCCCCAACCCCCCTTTTGTCCTCTTTAGACTTACTTCTTTCTTTTCAAGTTTTTTTTTTTTGCTGTTAAGTGAAGTGCAAGCTTTTTTCTTTAAAAAGAAAAATAGAAGGAAATGTAGCTGTCCTGAAAATAGTATTCAAGTTTGGTGAGAACAGCCCCTTTCAACACTTTTGTTTGGTTGTTTTTTCCCCCCAAAAGTTGTTTTCTAAGAAAGTTTCTTCAATTAGTTCTATTTTTATTTACCTATTTTACAACCTCCAAATTGCAGCCTAGGGATTACAGAGATTTCTACTAAGGACTTCCTTCTGCCTCTGTGTTCCTCTCCTTCTCTCTCTTCCTGTTTTCTCTATTTCCCTACACCTTAGTCCCTCTATCTGTCCCTTTATGTGGCTGTGGCTGCCACAGGTGATCTGAGGAGGAAAGTATGCTGCTTCCTAAATCTTCCTCTCCTTTCTTTGACCTCACTCCTCACTGTGGCCAAAGGGAGTGCCATCAATTGTGTTCTTCATAGACATTGCATGGCATGGTCCTGTCTCGTGGAAACCGCATCAGCATCAGAACCCATCCCACACTTACCTCTATGTTACTAACAACTGGCAACCAACCATCAACCCAGTTCCACTCTCCTTTTTCTCCCTTCCCCATCTTCATCCTCCTCTCATCCTTCATATATTTGGGGTTGGGTTTGGACTTTTTCTTTTCTTTTTTTTCTTTTTTCTTTCCAGTGAAGGAGGTGGCAGGCAGGGGAAGTGTTATCCTTTAGTTTTAAGTTTTTGTCATCCCCCCTTTCCATTTTGTTTTCCTTCAGTTCGTTTAATGCATGCATGTGTGGTGTGGATTTTGATTCTGATATTTTATCCTTTCCCACAGAACTACACCCCTCTCCCACCTTCTCTCTTGTTACCAGATGTTTCCGCATGGGTGTGGCAGCCAGTGTATGGTGTGTGCATGCTCTGAGGCTTCCTCTTTTCTCTCTGCCCTCTGCTTATGGATGATGGGTGTCTGGGTGCTAATTCCCTCCCCACATTGGCATCATTATTATTTTGGTTATCATTGCCTCATCATTCATTTCTTTTTGTTAACGTTGCTTTTTGAAATTGGCTCATTTCTTCAGTTGGTGGTGGTGGTGGTAGTTAAGGGAGGGCAGGGGTTGGTACCCTGGGATGGTGCATAGCATGTGTCATTCTGGACATGTTAGAACAGAGACCATCCTCCATCCTTATCCTGAATGCATGTTTGTTAGTGTGGTGTGAACCATAAAAGAAACAAATAAAAAAGAAAAGAAAAAAGGGGGAAAAACCACTAACAACCAAAGACCAACCCCTAACATATACCATTGTTGAATGTCACCTTTGGTGTTTCTCATTACTGCCATAAATAGCAATCATAAGAAAAAAAAAACAATCATTTTTAGCAGTGAACCGAGACAAGTGATATGGTCTAAGGATGGTTCCATTTTCTAGCCTGACTCAATGAAGTATGTAATGGGTGGAACAAGGTACTCAGCTTAGCCATTCCAACAAACTGTCCCATTAGCCACCAGAGAAGATTGCAGGCTTGGGACATAGGAAGGCAGACCAGAAAATGGAACTTGGTTGCACATACCAAAGTCAAGCCAAATTAGAAAGAATACCTCACCAAAAATCTCAATGCAGGTGAAACCACAGGTAGGGGGAGCCATTGAGTTTTAATAGGATTGTAAGGTCATTGCTGGGATTTTTTTTTTTTTGTCCCTATGTCCTACTATCAGGTGACAATCTCTGTGGATGGTATCCTTACCACGACGGGCTACACTCAAGAGGACTACACTATGCTGGGCTCAGATGACTTCTTCTATGTTGGTGGAAGCCCAAGCACTGCAGACTTGCCAGGCTCACCTGTGAGCAACAACTTCATGGGCTGCCTTAAAGAGGTAAGGTTGACACACTTCCATTATGTGGGTGGGTGGTATGGCTACTTGAGTATAAAAAAGAGATTTGTAGACTGATGATGGCACATGGCTGCTAATCTTTGTGTGTGATGAAATGTTGTAGAAGATAAGACTTTGAACTTTAAAGTAAAGGTCCCACCCTTTCCTTTACTAAGATGACCATGGGTGTGTGATCTTGGGTTTGCTACTTTCCTATTCTGTAGCGCTGTTTCCTTCTTTAAATAACGGAGACTCTTGTTGTTCAGATAGCTGTGAAATGTAAATGAACCATGCACTGCAGATGAAATCCCAAGGACACATGTGAAGTTTGATGTTATGTTCAGCAAGTAGGGAAGCTATAGTTAGAAGTCACATGGTTTATGTGTCTTGTCTAAAATATAGCATGCATTTTATTGTGTCTTTATTAAATGTGGCAGTTCCCAATTGTTTTTCTCATTTGTCAAAATAAAGGCCAAAATTTCAGCATGTGACATTCATGCTCGGAAAAATGGGCTTGCTTTTCTCTCTTTGTTTTCCTTCCCCGAAAGCTAGTCACTGCAGCAGTGAGAGAGCAGCAGGGCTTTGCCATTCCTCATTTATTACCCTTGTAGCTGATGTGTTGAGACCTCTGTTTGGGAGCAGAGGAGCTTCAGTCAACTGTGAGTTCAACCTATGAGGTCAATTGTTGAGGCAAAAAGAATCAGCCTTGATTTGTGAGAGTTCTTTTACCACACTGTGTTAGGGAAGCCGTACACTGTACATTTTCTTTAATCTAAGCTAAGCTTGATTGCCTGAGATATCCATACCATTTCCCTAGGGAAATTCCCTGAGAGTCTGATAGTGTGTTGCTTCTTTTAGATAAAAATTTCTTGTGACATCTTGCAATCCTCCTCCTGGGGCATATGTTTTATTCTTATTATAGTTATTCAGAGTTTATTGAGCAGCAGGCATACAGTAGATGATATCGTACATGGATTTGTCAGTGGCGCTAGATGATGAACAGGAATTGCCTCTACTATACCTGCACACAGTAGATGGACAGAAAAGATTTATTAAATGGGCTGACTTACCAGGCAACCACGATGGACTTTAAGAGTGCTGTATTTAACCTCAGAGGATTCTTTATATGTGATGGTGTCCATGCTCAAAGACTGTATGGTCAGGCAAGGGAGCTGAGATCAGTACATGAATAATTATAGCATAGGAACATGTGTTGAGCGCTGCAGACTAAATACTCTGATTGAGCAGAGGAAACAGATAAATTTTAGGTGGGAGTCAGTTTTAGAGAAGAAGTGACGTTTGAGCCAACACGTGCTGCAACAAGCCATGTGTGAGTTGAGAGGAAGAGGTGGAAAGGAAGGCATCACAGAGGAAGGAATATTTCAATTACAGCTTTGCTTTGTTCTTGGTCTGAAGGACAAATGGAGAGGAGAATCGAAACTGCTGCCTTCTCTCTGACAGTGGTTACATCAGCTTCTTCTGGCTTTGGGGATGCCCCTGTTATTTTTGGAGAAATTGTGGTAGGCACACAGCACTTGTCCCCTGGGATTTCCTCCTGTTTGAATAGACTAAGGGCACACACTACTCAGAGTCTGATGAACCCTGAGATGCTCTAAAACCACTCTAAATTCATACTGGTTTGAATTGAACTCTCATCAGGAAAATGATTGCAACATTCCTGCCACCAAAGACTTGGATCAGGAATGCCTCAAGGGTTGATTGACATGGCATAGTCCTCCATTTTTCTGTGGGGCAACAGCCCAGAACATGGAGTTTCCTGGAGGGGACACAGGGGTTATGGTTCCCCTATACACAGTTACATAAATCATCTCTAAGTTATTTTTGGAGACAAAGAAACAGTTTACCAACTACAGTATTTTTTTATCTGTTAATTAGGAAGGTTATCTCTGAGAATTTTGGAACATATAGGAAAATAGCGTGATACCTATGATGACTTTACCCATGAAGAATTTAGATTAAAACAAAACACATATACATACATTCATTCATACATACATACATACATACATACATACATACATACATACATAAAACATGAAGAGGTGAAGGACAGAGGCAGAGAAAGAGAGAGAGACAGAGACAGAGAGAGAAAGAGAGACAGAGACAGAGAGAGGAGTTATAGAGGAGATTAGGTAAAGAAAACAGGAAGGCTGTCTAATGTTGAATGACTTGCAATGTTGTGGGGCTAGCGTAAGGACCTGCTTTGACCCCCAAACTCACATGAAAGATGAAAACCACAAATCACAGTTTAAGCCTTTAATTCCAGGCTGAGGAAGCAGAGATAAGATGCTTCTCCAAACTTCCTGGTCAGAAGCCTACAGTGATGGTACATGACTTTAATCCCAGTACTCAGGAGATGGAGGCAGAGACAAGAAGATCTCTGAGTTTGAAGCCAGCCTGGTCTAGAGAGAGAGTTGTGGGACAGTCAGGGCTACACAGAGAAACCCTGTCTTGAAAAATCCAATAAAATAATACAAAACCATAAACAAGCACCGCCACCTGCACCCCCCCCCCAAATACAACTTATTGAACAGATAATGAAGCCAAATCTGTGAACTCCAGGTTCAGTGACAGACTTCTATCTTTAAAATTAAGGTGGACAGTAACTGAGAAAAGCATCCCATGTCAACTTCTAGACTACTAGCCTACACACATACACACAAACAAACATATGTTCACATGCACATACATGCACACACATATTTGAAATGCCATGTAACCAAATTCCAGAAATGGTAAAGAGATTACAGGATTGTGGACACCTGTTTGCCTATTGCAGAAACAGGTTTCATTTGGGAAACTCTACTTGCTTTACTACTGAAAGTTAATTTCTGACTCTGCTACTGAGATAAAGTGGCTGGCTATGCCCTCTGTGCACACCTCCTAAGTTGGCCTCTCTGTGAAAGCCACAGCCAAGTTGTCATCAAACTTTTGTGTTTCTCTGCACCACCATATCACCAAGTTGGCTTCTTGATCCTTTTTGTCCTTTCCTGTTTTAGTGTATCTGCTTAATTTTTGTTTTTAATGGATCCCTAGGCCCTAAATTGTTCTTAGCTTTGTGGAGGCTTTCAACCCATTAGTTTTTGAGTGAACAACACATTTCAAAATGCGTAGATATTTTTCTCAGATCAGTGATTTTAAGGCAGTATTGATCACTTGCCTTTATAAAGATTTTTTTTGCCATGGCAATAGTTGAATCATTCAAGATCCCTTATGTATATCCAATATGAGAGAAATATTGAATAAAGGGTCTCAACAGAGCATGAAGGGTGGATTGAAATCTCTCTGAGGGTGAACAGTACACAAAGAGCCTGAGGAGGCATCACAGTATAATGAGAAGAATAACGGAATTGACAGTTTTTAATAGACCCTGGGGGTGTAGAGCTGGCTTAGCAGTTAAGAGCACTGGAGAATTTTTCAAGGACCTGGGTTCCATTTCTAGCACCAACCTGATGGCTCATAACCATTTATAATTGCAGTCCTAGGGGGTCTAATGCCTTCTTCTGCATTCAGTGAGCACCAGACATGCATGCAGTGGACAGACATACACACACGCAAAATACTCAAGCACATTAATATTATGAATACTAATAAGAATTAGAAAACCTGGTTAGAAACACAAACTTGATTGCACTATATGACCTAGACTTAGTCACTGATTCTTTTTAAATAAATGAGTATCAGTTTGCCAATTTGTAATGAGAAGATCCTAAGAGTTATGTTGAACTCTTCTTAAGGACAAGTGAAATAATGGGCATAAGGCAAATGTTATTACACAATGACATCTTAGGGATTGAATGAGAATTACATATTGCTACTTACAAAGCAGCTGTGAACCCGGCTCTAAGTGAATGTGCATCTGCACATGCAGATCTCCGCATCTCCTGTATTAGCAAGTCATTTTCAGGGTAAACCTTTTACTTTGAGGTTTTTCCCTATTAAAAGTCTCTCATATTTGTAAAAAGAGGGACAATCCACCTACCGTTCCTCAGTATTTCCCTTATAATCTCTGTTGAAATATGAGATCCATAATTAACATTTCACAGCAATTACAACAATTCCTGGCATTAAACATTGTAGTCAATCCTTCCCTTTTCCCTCTCTCTGTCCCTTTCTCCCTCCCTCCCTCCCTCCTTCCCTCCCTGTTTCCCACCTTTTTTTCTGTCCAGGTCTTGTGTATCTCAGGATGACCTAAAACTCATTATATAGACCTCAGCTGGCTCTTTTCCAATTCTCCTGCCTCTGTCTCTCAATTCTGGCATTGCAGATGTATGCCTCTACAGCTTGTGCATGTGGTACTATGAGTGCAACTCCATGTATTTGTGTATGCTAGCAAGCATCTGGCTATATCCTTATCCCTAGGAAGCCTATTCTTTCTTAATAAAAAGTAGGTGCTTCTGAAATTTTCATTCAATGGCATATCTAGAATAAATGAATAAATGAACTAGCTGCTTGGAGCTCTAAGATCAATACTCTCTTAGCTAAGGTTGCTATAGCAAAGTACCTGAGACAGGCTGGCTTATAAAAAATTGAGATTATTTCTTCCAGCTCTGGAGGCTGAGAGTTTGAGATCAGTAACTGTCACACTCAGGTTCTAGTGAGGGATTCTTCCTGTTGGCAGAGTATCATCTTCTCACTATCTCCTGACTTGGTGGGAAAAGAATTAAAGAATTTCTCCAGATTTTTTAAAAAATAAATCACATCAAGATCTATTTACTTGAAAATTCTCATCTCTAATTACCTTGATGCTGGGGTTAGAATTTCAAATTATGCCCTGTCAACTTTCTAGCTTGGTGTGTGTGGGGGGCTTGTGAGTCTCCACCCCTAACCAAGGCGGTACTGACAGTTCATGGCTTCTGGGAGAGAGAAAGCCAATTTTCTTTTGGCTTTCCTGGTGGTGTGACTCAGCTTATGAATGGGCTCACAGTCATGGGTGTATGGGCAGCACAAACTGGACTTGGTGAGTTATTAAAAAAAAAAAG